AGGACTCTCTAACTCTTAACCACTGAACTTATTTTAGAGAGATTCGGTACAACAATAGTCGATAGAATAGTTTTTATTACTCAAACCTTACGTGATCGGGCACTGTACTGGTAAGATCCCTGCGGGATTATTTATTTATTGAAACTACGATAAATCATTTCAAAATAGGTAAATCTTACTTGGGCACTGAATTGATTCTGATGAATTCTGTCAGAAGTCACTAATCTACGCGGACGAAGTCGCGGGCAACAGCTAGTGTATATATAATTTTGCTGTGCGTGTGTATGTCATTGAACTCTTCCTAAACGGCTTGACCGATTTCAATGAATTTTTCTGTATGCGTTTGAGTGGCGACTGGATGGTTTAGATTCACAAATCAGCCCGGCAGATGGCGGTACAAGGGATAGGCAGAGGTGCACATTATGCCACTGTACAATGTAACACCCACTTTTCAATATTTATGTTATGAGTCCCATGTAATAGAGGGTGAGCCTATTGCCATATACCGGGCACAATTCCAGACTCCGTGCCCCTACTGAGAATTTTTTTTAAAACCCAGTAATACTTTGCCCGACCCGGGAATCGAACCCGAGCCCCCTTGCCTGGCAGTTGCACCTGCGAGCACTCGGCCAACGAGGCAGTCAAGCAGTTACATAATACGTTTGCTATATTTAGCAGATATTATACGCCCTCGCTCCAAAAAATTTTTGTCTAGTCAGTCAATTCAACCGCAGAACTAACCAACGACTTACTGCACTAATAAGACAGTATTCTTTCAACAAAATTTACAAAAACAAACCTAATCAGTATGGACCTCAAAGAAAACCTGAGTTCTTTGTGACCCCATTTTATTTTACTTGGGGCTCTTTGCAAATACCCTTAAAGAGATTCGAGCTGTACAAAACCATTTTATCATGGCCTAGCTTTGTGTACGCTTCCCTCACATTCAACGGTCAGCTTATACTGGTTCGTATAACTTGGTGTGTAGCTGTGGTATAGTGCAATAAACTTTCTTCTCTACTGCACTGCTTTCTCCTATATTCATTTGTTGGACTTTAAACTCAATTGTTTAGGAGTAAGGGCTGAAATTTGTTTGTTTTGTAACTAGCTTTTAATCTCATTTAAGTTCTTAGTGAGGAGCTCATATAAATGGTGATGTAATAGTCAGAAGAACGGTTGATGTTGTATTTTTTTTGCTAATCATTGAAGGAAATGAGAGAGCACATATTAAATGAGAGATTTATTAATACCAAATCCGCTTTAGGTCACAATAATTTTTGAAAAATTTTATATTATCCTAATATTATTAAAAATCGGTATTATTATTGTCTCAGTAAACCACTTGATTTAAATCTCCTATCGAAACATTTAACCTAAATCTATCCTTATCCTTCCTAATATTATAAATTGGAAAGTGAGTTTGTTTGTTTGTTCCGCTTTC